AATAATTTAGTAAAATAACATTTTTTAATTAAATATTTTAATTATTAAATTTATAAATTTAATCATTTTTTTAGCAGATTAAAATTGGTAGAAAAATCTGCAAAAAAAGTTACTTGTAAATTTATTTTACCATTTAGTAAACATTACTTGTAAATTTATTTTTACAAGAAAATTTGTAAAAAATAAAATAAAATTCTTACAACATTTTATGCAAATTTTTACCATGAAAAAAAAATCTTTATGATCACTAAAATTGTAGTAAAATTTACAAAAATTTTTTATAGATTATTTTTCATAAAAATTTTGTAAAAAATATCTGTATATTATTTTCACAAATAATTTTATAATTTTTTTTGTGAAATTATTATTTTAAGAAAATTCATAAAAAAAACTATAAATATTTTTTTAAGTAAAATTCGCAAAAAATAACACTTTTTTAATAATAGATAATTCACGTGACTATGGATAAAAAGACAAACATATAAAATTCTTGAATTACTCCCTTAAATTAAGTGAATTTTAAAAAAGTTATAGAATTTAGGATATATCAATTGTATTAACCTAAAATTATCACCAAACAAGTGGATTATCTTACATGAGATTGTATCAATAATATTTTAACTTACATGAGATTGTATCAATAATATTTTTCCTTAAATTATTATGTAGTTAAGGTGTTGCAATGCGTAGCTAGTGCCTAGGGGTACTGTCATATATACATGTGGACCCCCTAAAAGCAAAAGTCTACTATTGCTGATTGCCACCAAATGAAATTTATGTTATTATATCATAAAATCAAGTGGTCCTGATGAGGTGACACGTGGGCGGCACGACCAGGATTTGGTTTGCACTATCTAAATTTTCTTGGCATTTACGTCATTAATTATATTGCAAAATGGCATGGTGGAAGTATGTTATTCAACAAAACATAAGTGTTGCGTTAAGGTATGTCGTGTTTTTCAATCTCTAACAACGAGTTGAGTTAGTCTATGCAGTTTTCAATTTTTTCACCCATTTCGTTTTGGTGATTTTGGCTTGGTCTTATCTTGCATTATTTTGTTCAACCGATGCTTACTTTCTGGTACAGTCATTATTGCCGCCTTTAAACATTAGGTGAAGCCATTTACAACAATAATAAACAAATGAGTGGAACATTTATACTTTTTTAATGTTAAACTAATTAAGAGTTTGGTCACACTTAACAGAATAATATTTTAGTTATTTTTTTGAAAAAAGTAAAAAGTGGTAAAATATTATTTATTTATGTTTAGATACATGCAAAATCGTAAATCATTCTAACAAGAAGATGAATATGAATTTATATATACACGATTATCTTTATTAATAAAAGAGGGTTTTTTGGCCTAACACTAACAGTAAAACTATAAAAGTTTTATTCTGTATGTTTTTATTAAAAACCTTGATCAAAACACTTGTTTAAGTTTGTTTAATGTCATAGATCTCATACACAGAAAGCAGCCAGAAGAAAAGAGAAAGTAAAAGTGGAAAGGGGTTAGAAAAATATAAAGAAAACTCCGTCGATCTGAGATATATTTTCTTTTTGGTAAATAATAAGACTTTGAATATTTTAAAACCTGAAATAATTAAGCTGGTGGCTGGCTTTCACTAGAACCGGTAATTAATAAAGTATCATGCCATTTATTCTTTGCTAGCTACAAGACATGTTTCCACATGATTTTTCAATCTCTCCTTGTGTTACCCACCATGAAAAGAGAATTGTTTCGTGCAAATATCATTTAAAAATTACAATCACATGGTGTAGAGAAAAGAACAATGAAAATCTCATGAATTTGGGTTGCAAATTGATGTGATTGAATTTTAAAATTAAATTGTAAAAAAAATGATTATAATTGAAGTAGTTGGATCTATTAAAGAACGTTATGGTACATATATTTACCACTGCTGAAGGGAAGCATTTGAAATTTTGAAAGCCTTTTATTGGTGCTGTGGCAAGACAGAAAGATATATATCTAGATCAGCACTTACCAGGTTCAAAGAACGAGAACGTTGAAGAGTCAAATTAGGAAGCTATGTTGGGATTTAGAAAGTTGAGCAAGTTGTTAAGGTAATTTTTTTATTATTGGAAATTTAGAATCACTTTGAATTTAGTTGCTGATTATATATAATTTGTGAAAACTAATAAGTAGCACTTAAATATTCAATAACTAAATTCGTAAGTCATGAACCAACAAAAGAATGATGAATACTCCAACAATTGTTTTTCTATTTTTGTATCAAATATTTTTTATTTAAATTTTCCTTTTTTTAATTTTTTTTATCCTACCGTAACCGTAGCTGATGAATACAATTTAATTCTGAATTAATTGTGATGATTGAGACTTGAGATATGGATAAGAAGTGAAAGATAACTGTAGGCAATCATTTCGTACAAGAGCTGATTTTGTCAGTAGAAAAGAAAGGACGTCACGTGGTAAGTAAATTTCTTACTCCATGCAGATAACTTGGACAACACTATTTATTTTTCTTCTCTTATATTTTGCATTAAAAATATCATAGATAATCGGATACTAATTTTTTAGAAATAGAATTTATCGAAATCAATTTAATCTCTTAATAATTTATTTCCAATATTTATGAGATCAAAAACTGAATTCCTTATAATATATTTAAAATTTTCAACTATCGTTTTGTCTTTTGATATGTTGGAGATTGAAGACTATGAAGAGGCATGTGATATTTTAATGTAACAGCCACTTGGTGATATGGTAATGGTAGTTTATTACAAATTGTATTAGAATTACGACTGTGAAGTGGAATACTCCATTATCATCGTCTCATCATAAAGCCTACGGTCGTCACTGATGGCTCACGAGTTCATCGTTTTCTTCCAACATTTTGAGTCGTACTCACCTTTATAATATATTTGAATGGAAGAAAATAAAATATATAAAAAAGTTATTTTTAGAAATATTCTTTAAACAAAATCATTCAAATTTTCTTTTAATTTAAATTTCAAATGCCAACCGAACATCGGTCAAATAAGCCTTATGGTGTGTTTAGATGGGAAATTTATATAAGGTAATTCATTTATTTGAAAATTTTCAAATTTCTTGAGGTGAAATGCTTTGTTTGGACGAGGAATTTACAAAGAATTTAAAATTCAAGCATTTGTGAAATTCTTTCAAGTAGTAGAATTTCAAATTCTCCCAAAAATAGGAGAATTTAAAATTTCTCATATTTGTTTTCTTATTTCACCTATATATTTTATCTTATCTCTTCATTCTTTTAATTATTGAATATTCAAAAATATTTTTAAAATTATTAAATATTATCTAATATTAATTTTTAAAATTTTTAAATATTTAAAAATGGATTAATATTTATTTTTATAAAATTTAATTTTAAAATCTCAACATATAAATATATTTTAAAATCAATTTTATTATGGTGAAATCAAATTATCATATTCAACCTAACAATTTAAAATTTAAGAAATTTGAATTGACTCATCCAAACAAAATATTTTAAGAATGATAGAAATTGAAATCAAAGTAATTCAAATACCAAGAATTTAAAATTTCTTAAATTTATAAAATTCATCATCCAAACACATCATTAGACAGTTAGTTCACTTAGCATCCCAATTTTGAGTCTCGAAACCTATTTTGTATTGGTGAACATACGAGATCCAACTATAGTGAAAAGCCCATGACCCAACTCAGTTTTTCTTACAAATTTTAAGAGACTAAAAAAATTATCATATCTACTCACAAATTTGTTTTAATTTGGTTTCAAATTGGTAGTTAGGGATTATAAAATGGATTAACTCAACATGTCATTCATTAATTTGTCAAATAAACTAGTTAAGTTAGATTAAATTATTTTTTACAATATGTATCAAAAAAAATTATTTGAGAATGAGATTCCCAACCCAACCCTAGATGAGTTGCAAGCTGGATTAGGTTAATTTATCAAAAAAAAAAAATTGAAAATAATAGTTAAAAAAAGTAATTTATAAGAGTGACTCGTGTTGACCTAAAAAAATTAAATTTGAAATAAAAATCATAATAATAATAATAATAATAAATATATTAAAACAATCAATTGTAAAAAAAATGTCAATTATATCACACAGTTTAATACTCTGATTTAAATTATGTATTTACTTATTGAAGATATGACTGGATATGAAAATTC